CTTCACCAGCTTCCTCCCTGAAAACTTGACTTTACTCTATTCAGGAATGATTTAAGTGAACATGGTTGAAAAGGCTGAAAATAGGTCAGTGTGTTCACATTACATCACCCTTTTCATGAATTAAAAAAGCTGACTTTGAATGCTTTATGTATTGTATGACATTTATTTTATTTAAACATACAGTGTTAAAAACAAACAAACAAAACTATCCTCACCTACTCCCTAGCACTGTGCACCTGTGTGGTTAATGTAGATAGATTACTGGAGATTAAATGTAACTAAACATAATTTATTGCCATGCAGTGAAACTGATGGTTACACCGGGTCTGTAAATATCAGCTGCTGATAAAACTTGTTTAATGGTGCTTTTCATTTGTTTACATACTTTCAAAATAAAACAGTCTGGGTGAAGTCGTCACGTTTCGTCATCACGAGCGAATGATTTCGCCACCCTACGGAGCGGTTGCATCAGGTCGTAAATAAGACTTTTTTTCAGAATCTTTCCTGTTTTGTTTTTTTCAAAATAAAAGCATACATTAAAGACATTAACTGTAAAATATGTTATTAAAAGGCTACTGGGAGGAAGGATAAAGCGGGCACTTTTTGCTGGCTCAGTATGAGTGATTGCTCAACAGGTTTAGCAGCAACATCAATAATCAAACTCCCGCTTCAAAGTTTTGACTGTTTACAAACCTTAAAACTCATCTTTAACTCAGTCCAGCACATCTGAATCCAGTCACATATATTTTTGAATAATTAGAAATATACTAAGATTTAAAGACTTTACTGATGACAGGTGACAAATTAAAGGAAAAACTGTGGCTGAGTGCACGGTCAGTGTGCCATCTCCAAAGGAAAAATCCTTGATTGGGTGTTTTGGTGATGGTAGTGGAGACGGTCAAGAGTTAACATCCATTCAGCATGGATGTAATGTCAATGAATGTCACGATAATTTGTGAGTTTTAATGATTTCTTTGAACTGATTGGTGAAATGATTGTACAGCCTTTAACAACATTAGGTTTCAATAGACTCGAGTGTAGACATACACACCTTTAATATATGGTTAAATGTAACTTAACAAGTTGTATCTTGACCAGATGCTTTTTAGTATCCATCAACATGCTTCTGGGAAAGTGAAGACTGACAGGAAAGCGGAGGGAGGGTGAGGGGAAGACATGCGACAAAGGCCTGCTCATCCCGGTGAGCTAAACTGGTGCTTCTGGCATAATTCTGGTTGGATATTTAACCACTAGTCTCTGCAGAAAAGGTGGAGTCTAAATTAAAATTGGTTAGTTTCCTGGCACGGACCCGACTTCAGATTTTAAATAAGGTCGTGGCTTTAGCGTTAGCCTTTTTTATTTATTCCAAAACCAGGTTTAATGTGTCCTGTTGGAACCCCCCATCATGTCCAAGTTTCAACTGTCTCAGAGAATTTGAAGGTAGTCCTGCTCCTCTTTGTGTAGTGTGCGAGCACCACTGCAGAAGAACAGCTTCTGATGCTCGACAGCTGGTTCAGTGTTCTTAGCTTTGAAGCTGAATCTTAACTCGTCCAAACATACCACGCGTCATTGATGCCAAAGAGCTCAATCTTTAAAACTCTTCCAGAGACTGCATTTGGCTCGTGCACATCTTTGAAGCAGGTGCTTTTTATGGTCGCGACCCTCGCAGTCCATGATCATGTGAAACTCTCCAGTGTGGAAGACCGATGACTCCGCACATTGACCAATACTCATTGGTCTGAGTATCAGTGGTTCCAGTGAGAGCTGCCAAACGATCCTCATTATGCTGGCAAAGATCTAATCA